AACTCTTAAATTAAATATTTGGCTCGAGGATCTCTAATATTTTTAATTGGACCAAATAGGTAAAACTACATATGATGGAGCCATGAGATATAAATGAAGTTTAATTCCATCCCTACAATAATTTGCCCAAAAAATAAAGAAATGCAATTGTGGGCTCCGAAAATTCGGCCCCGGCCTCCCCGCCGCGCGATTTCTTTTTATTCGGCGAGGGAGTTTTAACTGAACTAAGTTCCGAGGTAAATTTTGGAAGGCAGATGGGTTTGTAGATAAGACACTACCCAGAGATTTCGCCCTCATTTTGCGAGGACTTTATGATCTGAGTTCTGGTTTCCTATAGGCGCAAGCCCCTATAGTTAATTATCCCTCCCGATCACAAGAGAGAACTTTCGATTAAGGCTAGTCGTCAATTAGATACGTAATAAATACGTGTTATCTGGCATATAGTAGCAGCAATGATTGGATTTGGAAATTTTGGAAAATTTGACGGATTTGGATGTTCGAGAATGATTGAAAATTTGGGAATTTGGAGATTTTGATATTCAAAATAGAAATTGCACCATCTTGTACTTAAAGTGGATGGTGGGGGAATGGATGATGGACCCGATCAAGATCCCATGGTTCCGTCATCCCGGGCCATCGTGGTCCCTGGTCTAATTAGTCAGAGGAGGTAGTCGACCCAACCTGACAGAAGGATCCTTGTCGGCAGCCATGGGTTGCTTCGTCCAAGGGGACCTTATAGACCGGGGTTGAATGTCTGTCTAAGGGGACAAATTTGAATCCACCTTAGCTAACAGAGGGCTTTGTGCCCTATCGATCATATTCCTATAATGATTCAATATCTCAAGGTTTGATGCCAATAAAGGAGTGTACGGTCTGGCCAAAACCGGTATTTCCGTGGTGCCATTTGCGGCAAATGAACCACTCGGTTCAGAGGGCCCCGGGTCATAGGACTGTTTATCCTTGCGGTGCCATTTGGCGGCAGACCGCCGGTTAGAGGACACGTACCACGTCCTACAGCAAAGAGACTGTTTGAGAATGGATCCTAGTGATATTTTTGACTAGCATTTCGCTCTTGTGAGCTGAAGTTATATTTAATTGTCCACTCTGCGACAAATTGTTGCGGAATGTGTGGGGAGTGGATTTGCTTTAAGATTGTTGACTGGTGTATTATGCAATTTGTAAAATATTTTTTTTAATTTTGGTTTTTTGTGGAGTTTTGGATTTTGGATGGAGGCTTGGAAGAGCATTTGGATATTTGGTGTTTAGTCATTGAAATTTTGTGAACACCCCGATTGAAGAAATACATCAATCCATGGCGCATACATCGGGGTGTTTGGGGTCATTTCTCTTTTAATGGATGAACCATTGTCAACTGAACTGTCGGGTCTGTGCGACAGCAGGGATCGGGTTTGTTAGGCTTTGAGCCTTTATTAGTGAATTCGTATTTGCTATAACTGTTTTGGTTTGGGTGTGACATAAAGCCTAATATGAATTATATTGAACAAAATATTTCTGTGCTCACACGCGCCACATAATTTGTTTGATGTGTGTCGAACCCGTCGCTTCTATCTGAACTCGTATGAGAAGGCTTGTTTTGGGTGTTGACAGGTTGCGATACCTGGAATTCACTTATTTTGACTAGCCCGCATCAATCCCTAGAACTCGTGTGTAGCCCATAACACGCTCGTGCGGTGCCGGCCATGTTGCGCGTTTGGGAATATATTTCCGCCCTTAGTGTACCTATGGTATACATTTAGTACAGTGGCACGTGCAGGGGATCTTGGAATCAGACTCCTTCTGTCTGCTTGTATCGAAGATGTGCAGATGCCGGTGGCGTGGGCGTAGCAGCTTCTGAATGGAGTGTCGCGTTGCTTTTGTCAGTAAGTGCTTTCGTGCAATCTATTTGTTTGATTACTGCAGTGGATCGTGAGTGCAGCTAACTAATCTCCTACCAGGTTGAGGTCGTAGGAGATTACAGATTGTCGTATTGCTCATGGCATTTTTGTACGTGGTATTTGTGTCTCAATGTAGTATAATTTGTTTCGCCATTGTTTATTATGTGTATGATTCAGGTGGTATATTACCTTCACTGGACAGAAATGTGAACTTTCAGGATTACTGCATTTTACTGAAGTCTTTCTGTATGCTACCGCATATAGATGGCATGTTTTATCATATCATCTTTTTGTAGATAGATTGCGTAGATAGTATGTCATTAACTTTTGTTCAGATCATTACATTTGCTGAACGGTTGAATGTATTAATAGCCTCCTTTAATTGCTGTACGGGTTTGGTAATTTATTCGTAGCAACTTTTATATTTTGCTTGTGTAATTACCATCTTGACGTTTGGCAGACAATGAGTTGCTTCTATCGGATTGAGCTTGTAAGGAGCCTACATCCATTGCTATCTTCAATCTTTGCTTCACGTCGGTGTCCAAGTCTGTGGTTAAGTTTAAACCATGTGATGTGTTTTATGTGACGTGCAAATGTGTTGGTATATTGCATTTGTTATTCGTTATTGATCTAACATCGTTGCATACGTGTACTTTTGTTGTAAATTGGTGTAATTTGCTTGGAGGACATCTTCTCAATGCTTCTAGCAATTTGTTGCTTTGTATATCCTCAAGACATTCTCAAATTTCTGTCAAGTTCATTATTGTTGATTTGAGAAGATTTTACACACACTTTGTTGGATGCAGCTTCATGGGTCGGCAGACTATCAATCCATTGAAGTTGTTGATTACAATTAATCATGGCGCAATTGACGATGGGATCGTGTTCACGTGGGTGGGTGTGCAATTTGCTCCATTATATACCCAATACCTAATATTTAAAGCTCTCCTCGGTTTGCAAATTCGGTTTGTGTGACCAACCAAGTGGGTTGAAGGTATGGTATCACTTTTTATATTAATATGGGTGTATTGATTTGTGTCTGTTATTCTGCCACTTATCTTGATGGTTGATGTTGTTTCTTGATTGTGTTGGATCTTTCTCATCGATGCTTTTAGTAATGACCTTGTTTATGAATACGTCTCCATTGCAGTGAGAAAGTCAGTTCAATATAGATTTGATTGAATTAGATAATTTTCTTTTCAACTATTCTGTTGGTTCGTGTGTGTTCGTGTCAGTCTGTTTGCTGCTTCATCAAGATATTTATTGCTCATAACCCGAGATCAATTCTCTCATGATTGAGAGCTTTGGCTTTTAAAATGAATCTATTCAATTCTAACCAACCTCACAAAAGAACTCCTTCAGGCGGATCAGAGTTCTTCACATTTCATATTTAGGCTATTTAAGTCCACTTTGGTCCTAGCTTCAGGGTAATTCTTTAGAGCTCATGCTCATTTGTTAAAGTTTGAGCTTAATGCTTGCAGATTCAATGTCATATGAGTCCCAAGATCAGACTCCATCCCAATATGGGTTCAAAGCTCATGTAATGTTCAAATCAAATTTGAATGATCAATTAGCAAGCTTAAGTCCTGCTCAAATTATTCAAATAAGATCCTTTGTAGTCTTTTGAGTTCAAGAACATATTTTGAATACATGCCCTTAATTAGTGTCTAAAATTAATCTCAAGTAAGCTTCAAATCCATAGTCCATATGATTCAAATTTTGTATTGTTCGATGTAAAAACTTGAATATTGCAAGTCATTGTCATCTAAGTTGTTTGAATTTTTGTTCGATTTACCATTCACTTAGATTCAAAATTAAGATCATTTTTAAGTTCCTTTTTATAGTTCCTTATACCTTGCTGCAAATCGTTCTGTCCAAGTTTCAAGAAAAGTCCTTGTGCCAAGTTCAAAGTGTCCTTGTAGTTGTTTTCCAAACTACAATCTTTTAAGTACAAAATTCTTTTTGCATATTGTTTTCTTTTTGATTTCAATCAAATTCTCTTTTATTTTTTTCAAATTCATTTGAATTAAAGCTCATTTTGTTCAAATAAGTCCACAAGTCCAAGCTCTTTTTTTTGTTCAAGTCCTCCCAGTCTTTTCAAATGAAATTTCGGCAGCCATCCGCGTCTCCCCGCGTTGGAAGAGAAAACCAAGAGGCAACTTCCCCTCGGACGCTAGCGTGAGCTGCTTCAGGTAGGTGTCAGAATGCACAGCCGCGGTCGCATATGAAAATTTTTTTATCCCCGCCTGCTACGTGAGCATTTAAGGGTTTTTATGTTGTTTATTATAAGAAGAAAACAGGATAGAAATAAGCAAGATTCCCCCTCTGCACCCGTGGCGTTCGGGGGTACTTATATAAAAATAAGAAAAATAAAATAAGACACATTTTTTATCCCTTCGCCGCAAGCGTCGCACACCGGTTTCCCACCTCTAAACGCTACTTGAGCGCCTCGGGGGTTTGCCCGGCTCGTTGCAAGCTTTGAAGAGGGATCCTTAAATCGTCGCGAGCATCGCACCGGTTTCCCCAACACCTAACGACATGTAAGCGCCTCGGGGGGTTTGCCGGCCGTTGCAAAGCATCGATAAAAGAACCATTTTTTATTATAATATAAAATTATTAATTATTATTAATAGATAATTAATTATCATTAAGTATAATTAATAAAGATTAATTATAATTAAAGCTAATATATAATTATAATTAATTTATAACTAATAATTATAATTATAATTATACTTAATAATATTTACAAATTTAATTAATGATAAAATAATTATTAATTAATAATATAACCAATTATAAAAATTATATTAATTTATAACTAATTATAAATTATTTTTACAAATAATTAATTACATAAAAAAAACATTATTTGTTGTTTATTATTGTAAATATGATTCTAACCGGATACACTATTATTATTATATATCGCATTAGTAAATAATTTAATATAAAATATAACATAAGTAACTGTTATTATTGTAGTTATACTTAACAATAAACTTAAGTATCAATTATAAAAATAACAATAATACAATAGTAATTAATAATAAAACATAATTAATTACATTTATACCTAATAACCTAAAGAAATTGAGCAGGAGTTGGCTGGGGGCTCGGGAAGGAGATGGATCGGGCAAGAGGAAGGCTTCGGGTAGAGCAGGGAGGTGGAGATCGGCTCTACAGGTAAGGGTTATGCTTCCTCTCTCTCCTTCTCTCTCTCTCTCTCTCTCTCTCTCGGATTGAAGAAGAAAGGGGCAGAGGCTACGGGAGGTGTTCGGATGGGTTTGCGTGAGAGCTGGAGTCGGGCAGAGGTAGGAGGAGGCGTCGGCTACGGGAAACAGAGGAAGAGGTTCGGTCGGCTAAGCAGAGAGGAGAAGTATCGTGGGAGAGGGAGGAGATCGCGTCGTGTGTGGAGCGAAGTCGGGTTTGCTGTGTGGAGCCGGACAGAGGAGAGGTATCGAGAGTGAAAGAGTGGAGGTGCTGCGATCGAGTGGGGAAGTAGGAGTGCGAATGGGAGAAGAGCCGAGAGCAGCGAATAAGGGGGCTTTGGGTCGGTATTTAACGAAGTCTGGCGTCGTTCGATCGAGGCGTGAGCTACAGGATATCCGGGAAATGATCGTGAAGCGGCGAGATATCCGGGATCTTGGCAGAGCTGGCAGCGATACGAGGTTTCCAGGATTTCTTGCGGGATTCGCGGGATGAGCGGCCAGCATCGTATAACAGGTACATGAAAATTTTGTTTGTCTTTTGGATAATGCATAGAGGTCAACAGCAATGCAATGGGGAGACAACAGAAACACTACCTACAAAGCAAATATTCTTAAAAGAATAAAGCCAAGCAAGGACCTTAATTTACAGGACTTTCGAATAAGAGATCTAATTAATGATAACAGACAATAGTGAAGCAATACTGAATAAGAAAATTGGCCTGCATTAAAAGAGTTTTACCAACATCACTAAAACTAAAATATTTTGATAAGCTTAACTACACTATCCCAAAATTGGCACATCTCAAGTTGCTTTGTAACAGTATGTGAATTTATGTAATCATACCAATACTAAATAAGCATATTTCCAAGGGCAAAACAATTACTTAGATACATCAAAAAGATAAATATAAATAAATAAAGAAGCATGCAGCCTGACGATAAAAATTGATGTTTTCTTACAATGCTGCACTTACAGATTGAGTAGCTGCAAGCAAAATTAGAAAAATATAAATAAAATACAATGGCAACCTACCAATAACTAAAGCTTGAACATGAACAAGTATTTAAAAATGTTTCAGGAAGTATCCCCGAGCTTTTTGTAGAACACAACTTAATATATCGCATTAAACTTGAATAAAACTCCAATACCTTCAAACTTATAGCAAATGAGATGAGTAACTTGGTTTGCTATCAAAGGCTTTGAGAAACGTCCTCCCATCAAAGAAACCATTCTCTACGAATCAAATGTGTAAAATAGAGGAACAGTCAGTTTAAGGGTAGAACAATAAGCAGTAAAAAGAAGAAAATCAAGGAAACTTTTAACAATAAAATACATATAAGATAATTATAACCAAGAAGAATAAATAAAATTGCTTCATGCTTATAATTTTTTAAGATCACTTTCCAAGATAATATAAATGGCTTAAGCACTAATTTTTCTAACAGGATATTTGTAGTTCACGAGACAATTCGTACAAGTCCCTTTTAAGAATGCAAGTGAGGGAGTTTAGAGTCAACTTAAAATACTTTGTTAATCGCTACGGTCGTAAAGAGTATGAAGAAAAAACTGGAAAATCATGATAGACAAAACTTTAAATGGTGAGTACTTTTCCTTCCAAGTATAACTAAGAACCGGTTCAACCTGTTCAATTGAACCAGCTCTAATATATACAACAGCGGGAGCGAGTAGAGTCAAGCGGACAAAGCAGCCTGACCGAACGCAGGCGCGGGCATGGCTGGCGGGTTTGGTTTGCGTATTTGAGTAAGGAATCGCATGCGGGAATCAAAAGTTGCAACTCCTCAGGAGAGAAATGTCCATTTCACACGTTCTAGTGGAATCAAACAAACGTGTTAGCAGTATCCATGAGAAAAAGCTGACTGGGAGGAAGAAGAATGAGAAGAAAGGTAAGTTTGTGCATTTTCCACATTTTGTTGAAAATTCTTTTGTAATTTCAAACTAAGAAAGGGGGTTTATGTTTAAATTGAGCGCAAAGGAAGAATTTTGGGAGAGAAAGAGGAAGATTTTGTGTTGAAAATTTCTTCTTTGTAAGTAATTTTGATTTCCTATTTTTTTTTCAGTTCAAATTTGGGGACTAAAATATATAAAATTTTATTCCTTGGTAGAAAGCAATAATATATGATTTTCAAAAGTAAAAAAATTTCAGACAAAGGAATCTAGTGGATGAAAGTTTCATTTCACCAAGGAAGAATGAAAGATTTGATTTATTGAGGTAATTAAATTTAATTTATAATACATACTTCGCTATTACATTAGATTATAAATAAATATTGTAATCATAATTATGATCTGACAAATAAGAAGTATTTCATGCTTGATAATTATATAGATGATTATCGACACCTTCGAAAGACGCCAAATAATTTAATGTTATTGTGATAATATTTATTTTATAAAACTAGCTAGCAATCATTAATGCAATTTAAAATTATTTGGAACAATGGAGGATTGGATTAACCTAGTGCATGAAGGTGAAGTGTTGAAGCTAATAAGGGATCTTCTAAAGGATTTGAGGTAAGATTACATTTAAGAAACATTTATGTGAACTTAATGAAAGTTAGATAATAATAGTTTATGTAAATACTTGCATCACTTTAGGTTGCATTAAAGAAGACCATCTCAAGGATCAACTATTTGAAAGTAATTGAAGCACAAGTATAATTAAAGTGGTAATTACAAATGTTTCTGGCAATTACATTTTTTTTATTTTCATTTCAATTCTAAATGTAATACCTTATATATTTGGTTATTTATTTATCTTTGACTGCTATTACGTGCAAGATGATGTCAATTCAAAATGTATATGTGATGACGAAAAGTAGAAATTAAAATTATTATGTAATATGAATGTTTATGTATATGTGAACGGTGCATATATCAATTTAAAAAACATGCAAGAAAAAAAAAAGTTAATTTAAAAGTGTACATATTATTTAAATATAAGTAAAGATATATGTAAAGAACAATGAAATGAATGAATTAATTTATAATAAGTAAAAGAAAGATAAATAAAAAGAGAAAAAGTGCATGCATGCAAATACAGCAGTTCACCCCTTATGGTACTAACCGGGGAAGCAATGTAGTAGTGCACGTCAAATAGAAATGAAAATGGTTTTACCTTCACTGACACAAATTCTAAATAGTGCTCATGTATTAGATGAAAGGGAAAAGGAATAAATTAATAAATGAGATAGGAAAATAAATTTATTATTTGGAAAGGCAAATTATAAGAATTTATAGCATATAAGATGTTGTGTATATATTAAATGTAAAGTGATGAAAATGAACATGCATATTTTATTTTATATGCTTCACTGTCAAATTTTTTGTTGTGATTATCCACTGGATTTATCAAGTAAACTCAAGCTGTTAAACTAAATTTTTAGATAAAACTTATGATAAGTAGAAATGATTGAAAGAGATGAATATGTCTACTGAAGAAGGCGATCGAATGAAAACAGGTAAAAAATTTTTAATTGTATGATTTAGGTATATGCTTAATATGATATTTCTTTAGTGACACTTCAGTTTTGTGGGATGTTAGTTTTATTCTCTATATGTAATTGAACAAACATATTAACCGTTCGATCATTTGTTCTAGTCTCGTTAATTCGAGTCTCTGAGCTGGGTCGTGACAATAATCAACTGCAAATTCAACATACTTCTATTTTTTTATAAGACATAACTCTATCCCCTTGTCAATTGCGTCACAATTAAAAACTAAAAACAAATATGACCAAACAAGTAGTTTCACCCAAAAAAAAGTGATGATCACCTGCTACCCCAGCTTGCTCACCCAACTTCAGTATGCTCATTCAAGCAGAGAATGGTGGTCCTAAATGTAATAGCACTTAGCTCTCACTGATTTCAATACACTAAATGCATCTTGTTTGGCTCAAGCAAAAAGCGTTCAAAGTAAGTATGGGCTCCAAAAATTTGAGCTTTTGGGCCCCAACCTTTCCGCGTATATTTAAAGAGAGTTTTAATGGATAAATGTTCCGGGGGAAATTTTTGGAGGGCATATTAGATAGAGATAAAACACTGCCCAAAGATTTGCCCTTGTAACAAGGACTTTAAGATTTAAGTTCTAGTTTCCTATAGGCTCAAGCCCCTATAGTTAATTATCTCTCCTGATAGCACTTTCAATTAAGGCTAGTTCTTAGATATATACTTAATATCTAGCATATAGTAGCAATATATTTAAATGTTAAATTTAATATTTAAAGTTAGAAATTCACCATCTTACACTTAAAGCATATGATGGGGGCAACGATGATAAACATAATCAAGATCTCATGATTTCCTCATCCCGGATCATCATAGTCCCTAGTTTACTTAGAGGAGGTAGTCAAACCAACCTGACCGAATGATCCATGACGGCAACCATGGGTTGATTTGTACAAGGATACCTTGTAGACTTGAGATGAATGTTTGTCTAAGAGATGAATTTAAGTCAATCTTAGCTAAAAGAGAGTTTTGTGCTCTATCGTTCATTACTTAATAGTACTTAGCCATTGGGAAATATACAGGTTTTTAACCATGACAGTAAGAAAATAGAGTCGTTCAACCAAGCCACTAAGTCAAATTGCCGCAATCATAATCGTTTACCATGCAAAGTTGTTTTGGCCAAACCATGGGTTATTTGTTGAGCCGTCTGGCCAAACTATTGATTAGAGGATAATTCATAACAGTTTACCGCGTAGAGTTGTATGGCCAAAATACCAGTTCTGTGGAGCTATCTGCCAAGCCACCAATAAGAGGATACATGCTACGTCCTGCTAGCAGGATATTATTTTAAAATGAATCTTAGTGATATTCTCAATTTGAACATTTGCTCTTTATGAGATAGAGTTATCCTTGAGTTCATCACCCTCATCAAACAGTTGCAAAGGACAGATGAGTTTTGCTTTAAGTTGTTAGATAATTAAATTTTACTTTTAAAAATTAAAATTTCAATAGATACAAAATTTAGAATTTTAATAGATTTTTAAAATTATCCCCTCCAGTTGAGATTAACTTTTAACATGGTCATCATCAGGTGATGTTAAAGTCATTTGAAAATATATTTATTTCATTAGTGTTTAAAGGTATTTCGAAGATAGAGTAATCTCCAGTTGAAATTAGCATTTAACACGACCATTATCCTGCTTCTCATTTCACTCATATATGAAAAGAACCTAGTAGAAACCAACAAAATTGGGATAACACACTAAATCTATTTCAATGCTTTCCAAATTCTCCAAATTCACTGGAGAGCATAAGTACAAAATAAGTTGGTAAAATGAAAAAGGTTATTTGAAAGCTTCTCTTTAAATTCAAAAACAAAAGAAGCAGACATGTAGATTATGTTTAAAGCAACACCCAATATACTCCAACCTACCTAAACATCAAATAAGACTCATGCTAAAAAATTGACCACACCCAACCAACAAGAGGAGAAAACAACAAAAAAGAAGAGCGGAAACAATATTTAATGCACCTGAAATAGAGTCCAACAAGAATTCACAGTATGATTACATCATCCATTTTCACTTGTTTAAACATAAGAACCTACGAAGGATCTATCCCCAGAATCATCAAGGAACATGTGTTTAAGTGATTCAACCACATCTAAGACGCAAACATGCAAACACTAAGACATAAAATAGACATGCATACCAAAACAGGCTTTACTGACCAACATGCAAACAAGAAAACTCAATCCCTTTTTCCTTTGCAGGGCAGTGACAAGCCTCTCAAATACATAAGCCACAATCTTAACAGCTTTGAGTTGCTGAAACTATCTAACATAATAGTTTACTTCTGAAAATTTTCCTAAATTGGGCCAAATAAATTGGAAAAGACACAACTTCATCAACCCAAAACCAAATCCATTAGGCAAATCCATCCCTGATGCAGGCAAACTAGATTAGAAAGAACCAAGATAGGAGAACACCAGGACTAATAGAACACGACTCAATTCAACGCTTAGAATACCAACATCCAAACAAACTTCAAAAAACAAACGAAACAAAATTAAAAATAAAAATCACTACCCTTAGAACAACCGGCAAGCGGTTTCCTCACATGCAACGAAAATTAGGCAATATAAAATAAGTGCTTAAGGGCTTGTAAACCAAGAGTCCACCACAGCTACAAGGTCCAACGTCCACCAAAACTACTCTGGCAAATGCTACCAAATCAGCCAACAAACTCCTCCAATAGCTCAAGAAAAAAGATACAAGTGGAGTGGAACTTGCGGAGAGAAGAAAGAGGTTAGAAGCCCAAGACGAAATAGTGAGGAAGAGAGAAATGGAACAAACTCTCAAGCTTTTCCAAAGAGAAGAGAAACCCTCAAGTTTTTTAAGAGACTTTGCTAAAATATTCAACAACCTTTTTGCTTCAAAACACCTCTAATTTATAATTGAAAAGGGGGAATGAACCTAATTATTCTCCAATTTACGAGCTTAAAAGGCACTCTATTAAACATTAATGGGCTGATTTTAGTACAGGTCATGGCAGCTCACTAAAAATACAAGGCAAATAATTTTCTTGAGAAGAAAGATACAGATGGGGTGGTCACCTGTGGAGAGAAGAAAGAAGTAAGAAGCCAAGACGAAGTTGAAGAGAGGACAAGCTCGTAAGCTTTCCCAAGAAGAAGAGAGAAGAAGTGGAACAAGCTCTCAAGCTTTTTCAAGAAAAACCCTCAGGTTTTCATCTCCAAAAATCAGCACATAACTCTTTTTTATTTACAAAAACATATTATATATAGGAGAAAAGGGACAGCCAAACAGCCCAAAATACCATCAATTTAACCAATCAAAATAGGGGATATAGAAGGTCAAAAGGCCGTTAGGAACAGCAGCTAAATGGGCCACAAAGAGGGACCATAACATGCAGCTAAAAGGGGGAGCGGAACAGGCAAACCAGTGGAAAGGAACGGGCAATTCATGGAACCGAAACAGCAGCCAAAGGGAACCGGAACAGTAGCCAAAGGGGGAGGAATCAAACACGGGAAGGGGGAGCCGGGGAGGAAAC